ATATATATATATATATATATATATATATATATATATATATATATATATATAAAAAAAGAGAGATTTTCAGAGGGCTCTAAAATTTTAACTGCTGCTACTTTTAATGGACTGTTGTTAAATTGTATCTGATTTCAAATAGTTAGACATGTTTTTGATTACTATGATTTAATTAAACGAATCTAAACGAAACTTAATTTTAACTCACTTAATATTAATACATGTCTCAGAAAACAAGACTTATATCTTATAAGTTATTTTATAATAACTTAAGTTATTTTCCTCTTAAGTAAATGTATCGTGACTTAATACTGTTTGAAAACGCTATCCATCCTGTATAATATTCTATAATGGTGAGTGAATCCCAAATCTTGTGTTCTCTTATGAATGCCAAAAGCACTGGGCTGTTGATGTTTCTGATGTATTTTAAGTACACACTCATGCATACTTTTTAGGTTTTATGATTCTTTGTTTAGTTTTTCAGTGGTACACAGTGCCACCTAGTGGGCTGGAGGATCTGAAGGATCACGTGGCACTGAAGACTGGTGTAATGATCCTGAAAATTCAGCTTTGATCACAGGAATAAATTAAATTTTACAACTCATTCACATAAAAAACAGCGATATTAAATAGTAAAAATATTTTAGAATTTTACTGTGTTTTTAATCAACTAAATGCAGCCTTGGTGAGCAGAAAACATTTAGTTAGTCAGTGTCTCTCTCCTAATTCCTCCTCCTCACTCAGACAGAAATGGATCCGCTTCAGAGAGACTTTGACAGTCACACGCAGTGAATGAAATGGACAGAGTTCAGACCGCAGCGTAACGTGATCCCACGACTCTATTCACGTGTGAGTAACTGCTTCAAACCAATCCCAGTGGATCAATTTCTCATCTCATGAGCGCATATTAAACCAAGAAGAGATGCTGATTTTTCTTTATATTAAACACAACAGCTTTCTGAGCCAAAACGAATTCTGTCAGAGTGAAGATGCATTTAGAGATACTGCATTTTTATATTTCTAATAAAGCATTTTATTGTCCAGCAGGTGAAAATGGTGATGATTGATTTGGCAAACACCAGTAATAAAAGGCCGTATTTTTATTATTTTATTAAAGTGAAGCTCTAGTTAATGTTATGGCTGTTTTTCACTCACTGTAAATCGTGAAGATATACGTATAACTGAAAAGCTTTTGAGAAAACTGAGCACTGTAAAGCATCAGACTTCAAATGTCATCTGAGTCTGAGCGAAGCAGAAAGTGGCTCCATTAGAGCAAATGAATGAACTCAGAGGTTTTCTGGCCATTAAACACACACACTCACACACGCACAAGCACACTCGCACACACGCACACACACACACACACACACACACTCACACACACACTCACACACG